TTAGTCCACGTGGTACCACTTTGTACCGTCTATTACTCCATTCCATTTGATCACTCATTTTCCAGCATCAATCATACGTTCGATATTTTTTTCCTATGTCCCCTATATAAACTCCAAATATTTCCTCTCAATTCAAATCATTTTTCATAGTCTCATTCACATCCTCATCCTCTCTAATATCATATGATATAGTAGTACATCTCTTACAATTCCAAGTAGTTTCGAATCGAATAAAATTCAAGATTAATGGCGAAAAGAGTTGTTATTGATTCTTGGCTCGAGGTCGCACCATCACCTCTAGTAGTTCCTAATAAGCCGTCACATTCCCCCAAACTTGAGACGATCGAAGAAGATAAAGCAGAAGGGCATGATGATACGATGATTGGTGATTTTAAATCGAATTGGTTCAATCAAAATATCAGCCTTTTTCTACATGGCTTGTCAGAAAAAATAGTTAGAAAAGAGGGTAGATTGCATCTTATTTCCTTGATTTTGGCATGGGGAAAATGCATTTTGCAAACTAGATTTTAGTGGTGTGTAAATTGTAATTATTAATAGGTGTTGCAGAAGATGGCTATTGACTCAAGATTTTTAGCTTGAGCTTGTGCTATCAAAATTTCTATCTTCTTTTTATGATTTGGGTAGAATAATCTGTCTGAGCCCTGAATTTATTTGGGCAAAATGCAGTGTGTAATGTAGTTTTTTGGTGGAATTAAACTATGATATGATAAATAATATGTTGTACTAAACATTTCTTATTTGAAATACGCCCAAGTGATTTCCAGGTTTGGATAAAAATGGAGTCCAACAAAATTCTTACATGAATTGTCACGTTGTCAAATGAATGCATTTTTAGACATCGGACAATGTGAAGGAGTCTTCACTGTCATGAATAATGTTATTCATCTAGATTGCTGATGGTTAACATTATGAGTGTTAATTATTGAGTGATTGAATTTCTCAAATGTAAGGATAAGAGTCCGTTTTAGATGTCCAATCATGTAATGACACGTAGACTATTGATCACCAGCAATTTAGATTAGTAACTTTACTCCACTGTGAGATAAACTGGTTATCAGGTAGATTCTAGATGAATCTCATTATTCTTATGCAATGTTGTCCTAAGAATTCTACTTAGACGAAGCCTTAACGTGATTCTCTTTTAATTAAGACAGAATGAAGCAAAAAAAAAAATTCTTGAACTAAGAAGAAATTTAAAACACTCTAATTCATCACATAAACTCGTTGATTCAAAACTGAATGTCAAGAATAAATGGAAAGAATTTTTTTTAAAAAAAAACTCAAGTTCGAAATTTTAAATCAAAAAACAACTAAGCTCTTATTGTGGTAAATGGTAAAAAGATATGAAATGGAAACCTACAATGAAATACATAGTTAAAATTAAAAGCAATATTTGGTCTTACAAAAATCCATCTTCACCACAAATTAAATTTAATGGGAAAATTGTGGCTCCTAACCTTTTTAATTTTTGTAGACTTTACCATAACCTTCAATTTGTACTACCCACAACTCCAAACCTTTCAAAAATATGTAGCTGGGGGTCCAAATGGATGAATTTGATCGTTAGTTGATCGAAAAAGTCAAAATTTAATCAATTTCGACCTAACTAAAAATGGCAAAATGGTACCTTTTATTTTATTTGCATTAAATAAGTTAAAAACCAAAAAATAAACCAATCCTCACCACACCATCCAACCCCCACATCAATCCAACCAAAACTTCATCTTTTTTCTATAGCAGCCAACTTAGGGATGGCAAAAAAATCCAACAAACTCGATACTCGCGAGGCCCTGCCCCAACGGGGCGGGGATAACCCACTTAATCGGGGTATTCGGGGCGATGAATTTTGCCCGGGGAGGGTTCGGGGCAGGGACGGGTAACGGGAGCCCGCCCCGTTAAATTTTTTTTTTTTTTTTTAGAATTCAATACTTTAAATGAAAATTTTCATTAGTTCTAATAAAAAATAGCAACTTAAATTATTTATTTAAATCTAATGAATATGGACAATAAAAATAAATTATTAAAAAAAAAAATTTTTAACCGGGAAAGGACCCGCCCCACCAGCAGGGTCCCGCCCCGAACGAGGCGGGAATAACCCGCTTAAACAGGTAAAGGGGGCCCAACCCAGCCCCGTTAAATTTTTTTTTTTTTTTTTTTTTTTAGAATTCAATACTTTAAATGAAAATTTTCATTAGTTCTAATAGAAAATAGCAACTAAAATTATTTATCTAAATCTAATTAATATGGGCAATAAAAATAAATTATATATATAAAAAAATTTTAAACGGGTAGTAAACGGGGAAAGGACCCCGCCCCGCCTTAAACGGGTAACGGGGCAGGGATGGGGAGATGAGGGCCCCGTCCCGCCCCATTGCCATCCCTAAACCGACTCAACTACCGTCTCTGCCCCCACGTCGAAAACTAATTAGTCACCGCCCAAAACCGCCACCATTCCATTACCTTCAACAAGCGCCCAAATCCACCACCATTTCCCTGCCTCTTGGCCATCTCCCAAATTCAAATTCAAATCCAAATCTCGAGTCTCCTCTAGAGTACTCTCCACCACCATTCCAAGCATGGGAAATTGCTTGATTTGGAGCTCATTTTTTTTTTTTACTATAATGACCGTTGATTTGTTTGTTAATTTTAAAATCGGCAATGGAACGATAGGTTTTTGCTGGGTTTTGAGGGGTTTCAAAATTGCAGTGGCTGTGGGGGCTTTCGTTGCAGAGGTTGTGGCGGTTTGAGATGGTGGTGGTGGTATTGATTTAGGTACGGTATTGTGTGGGTGGCTGCAGTAGCCGTCGTTCAACGGTTGATGAGTTTTCTTTGGTTGATTAAGAGTATATTGTGAGTTTTCTTGATTTATTTTAAAATATACAATGGGCAGTTGTGGTGGCTGTGGTGGCAGTTGTGGTGGTGGCAGTGTGGATCGAAGGTAGCGGTGGTGACTGCTTTTGGTAGGGCTTTGTCAGATGAGAAGGGAAGAGGCGGTTTTGATTGGGGTGAAGGGGGGAATGGAATATGAGGTGTTTTTGGTTATTTTTTAATTTGGTTTTTTATAATTTTAAATTACCATTTTACCCTTCACAAATTTGGTCAAAATTAATTTTTTTTTTTTTGTCAACTAATGATCAAATAGATTCCATCCATTTGAACCCCAACTATATATTTTTGAAAAGTTTGAGATTGTGGATGACACACTTAAGGTAAATTCGACAAAAAATGAAAAGGTTAGGGACCATTGTTGCAATTTTCCCTTAAATTTATTACGTAAATAAATTTATTCATTAATTTTTTAAGGAGAGAAAATAAGAACACGATGATGATGATGATGATGATGATGATGTTAGATGTATCAGGTTGTGTACTAACATGGAATCAATAATGTAAACTAAAATTTAAGACATTTAGTGCAAGGAAAATACGCGTTTCAACATGATTGGATAGAAACAACGAAAGGGTGGCCATTTAAACTGGAATGAACATGCGGCGACCAACATCAAAAAGTTTAAGCAATATTAAATAAATATTTTCTATTTGTGACAAATTTTTTTTGTGTGTGTGTGTGTGTGTGTATATATATATACAGAAATGATCTAATGAGCATTGGTGCTCATCTTATCCTAAACACCGATTAGTTGGCACATTAATTCATTGGTGGATTGGAACTCACAA